GTCATTCCACCGTGGAAAGGTGAAAGATGGAAGCATGTGCATGAGACAGAGGGAGAGGGAATTGGGCCTAACTCATCCTTTTACCAGGAGCCTGTTCCCAAGATAATAGTATTAATCCATTCATGAGGGTGGAGCCCTCATGAGCTAATCACCACTTCTAAAGGCTCTGCTTCTCAATACTGTTTCACTGGTAGTTAAATTTTAACATGAATTTTAGAGCAGATATTCAAATCACAGCAATTATGAAATAAAAAATATTTTTAAAATTTGATGATTAAGAAGAGTGTATGTCTCTATTATAGTATGATTTTAGTTGTTTTTCTCCATCCATTTAAATGAATATTACCATTAATGTCTGGGATTGGAACCAGGTTAAGTTTCATGTTTTCCATTTCATGAACTTTTACTTCTAGTAATGATTTTGGCTGAACAGAAAGAGAAATTTCACTAACAAAGAAAAGCAATTAAAGTATGCTTCCTTTGCGGTTATTGACATTTACAATTAAAGGAACCATCTATTTCCATATTCCGAATGAAAATGGTCATCATTTGAAGAGTCTCTGAGTTCTTTACCCTTTCTATCTCTGTCATTTTCCTGAATGATTATTAGCTTCTGTATGCCTAACAAGAAATGTATTATTATAGTTAAAATCACATAATAAGATTTTTCAGGGTTAATAAAGAGGGGTTATTTGCCATCCTGAGAATATTCCATTTAGTTGTAGCTGAAAAAAAGGTAAAATCATAAAAGTTATGCCCATCTAGTCTATACCACTAAACTTTGAAAATGGGTATTAGATATCATTGTCTTGATTAGCATCATTTTCATAGTTGGTAGTTAAGAGTGAGGGATCTTGGAGTCCAAACACTATTCTGGACTCATCTGTTGGCTTCACGCTTATTTAAACATTTGCAAATAACTTCACCTGTTAGCCTCACCTTTCAAATTTGTTTAATGGATGTAAATAGAATACCAACTTTGTAGGTTTGCTTTGGTGTCAAATGGGAGAATTCATTTAAACCCTTGGAATACTTCTAGTATATAGGAATTAGTGAATACAAGGAACCATTTAACTGAAAAGCAGTTAACTTTCAGGTGAAGTTTTCTCATTGAAATGATTCAGATTTCTGAGATGAGCAATCCTCATTTTCTCTCTCTCTCTTCAACTTTCTCTTTAATTTGCTTCTTTTTTAGCTTGGCTGTCACATTTGTAATTATTAAAAGTCATATAATTGTAAATATGTAGTTATCCAGGACTGTGGGTTTTTCTTTTTGAATCTGATCTCTTTTTTGTGTGTACACCAAAAAGATAGAGCAATAAACAAATACCACATGACGTGCTCAGCCAAAAATTCATTACTCTCTCTGAAGAGTAACTGGACAAGAAGAAAAACATAGGGAAAAACAGAACAGAATTTGTTGGCATGTTCTACACACAGACCATGACTTTTCAGAAGTCAAACTAAATAAAAACAGTTTAAAAAGAGGCAACCATTTGTAGAGGAGTCCTTGAAGATTCTTCATTGTTTTCTTGGACAAAAAGAGACCAGTGGCTCCAAGTGCTTCTAAACACTTCTCTCTTACTTTCTTAACTGTAAGTTAACATTTGTTTTACATTTTCACTTTGCATAAGGTCATTAAGATATAAAGTATATAGCCAATGCCAAACATATTGATTGAAAGTGTTACAATTATATTTATCAGATGTTCTAAATTTCTTTTTTTTTTTTTTTTTTTGAGACGGAGTTTCACTCTTGTTACCCAGGCTGGAGTGCAATGGCGCAATCTCGGCTCACTGCAACCTCCGCCTCCTGGGTTCAGGCAATTCTCCTGCCTCAGCCTCCTGAGTAGCTGGGATTACAGGCACACACCACCATGCCCAGCTAATTTTTTTTTATTTTTAGTAGAGACGGGGTTTCACCATATTGACCAGGATGGTCTCGATCTCTTGACCTCATGATATATCCGCCTTGGCCTCCCAAAGTCCTGGGATTACAGGCGTTAGCCACCACGCCCAGCTTATTTTATATTTTATGTTACAGTGCTAGTGAGTTATTTCATTAAAGAAACATATAACATTTTAATGTGATAAAATGAAAAATGACTAGATTCAGAGGTATGTATAAATATCAGACAATAAATTCTCTCTCTGACACTGCTCTGAATATCCTTTTGAGAATTTGTAAGGTTTTACTTCTTTAGAATGTGTAAGCATTAGGACAAGTTCCTTTTTCCTGTGTTCTTTTGTTCTTTTAAAATGTTTTTTTTTTTTTTTTGTGGTTTACTTAATGGAGCTATTTAAACAGACCTCTGTATCCATAAATGAAGATTGGTGTTTTAATGTTTCTACTTTCTTAAGTTAGAAGTTAGAGATTATATTGAGTTTTGCTGGTTTTGCCTTTTATTTTATGATAAAAAGCAAGTATAGCAAGTTCTTTGAACATTGTAATTTGTTTATAACATCAACATTTTTTCAAATGGACTTCAGTAATCATAGTTGTGATACCAAATGATCATCTCTGGAATTTCAAACTGAAAACAAAGAATAAGGATTATTACAAATCAATTACTCTAATCATATTAGCTAATGTTCTTGGTTTTAATCTGTGTGTATCTTACACATTTACTTCAGACATGGAAATTTTAAAAAGAGAAATTAGCTTTTTGGGATTCTAAGAATGACTATAATATTTTCGACTTTGCATTACCCAGTGGTTAACAAGGTATCAAATAAATGTGCCCAAATGTGCAATTCAAAATAAGACTGCTTGTGGTCAAATCGCTGACTGATAAGGAACTGCAGAGTGGTTTCTTCCTGTTAAACTTTTATTTCTTAACAAGTAAAGAGGAAGTGTTTTTTGGATTCTAAACGTTACTAAGATCTTACTGAGGGATTTACTTTTAGTGGTTGTAATGTTAAGATTTAACAGAAAAAGAGTGACTTCTGAGACAAAAGGAGAAAGGACTCATATACCATCACCTTTATCTCCCTCATAGCCATAAAAGTCTGGAGAGAAATACCAGCTGAGAGGACATTTTACAATTATTAATACTTTGTATTCTTTCAAAAAATCCTGATTGAATATATTACTACAATGTCATATAAGGCATTTAGTTGGTGCATCTTAAAATTATGCTTTTAAAACATACAAAGTCTTTTTGTAACTAACTTTCTTTTTTTCTTTTCTTCCCCTAGTTATTGCTCTACAATATTTATTTTACTCTGTCAGTGAACAGGACAAAATGATTAAAAAAGAAATAAGTGTGTGTCAACAAATTCAGACTCCTCTGTACAAGAATTTTCTTAGAAAATGGAGAATAAAAAGAGAGAGTTTATTGGTATGATTCACAATATATATGGTTTTTCATAGCTAGTAAATGAAAGTCCATTATGTAGTATTATGCCATTTTTATTACTTGTTTATAAATTCTGATTTTTAATTATTATACTTGCTAGTCGATTTGAGATTCTAAATACTGCAGAATGATATATTTTGCAAAATAGGATAGTATTTATGTCAAAGGTGAAATTAACTAAAGAGCTCATCTGACAGTTTCTAAAAAATAATCTTTTGCAGAATAGAACCAGCCATTTTCCACATAATTAATGCATTCAAATCTCAGAGTCATTCTGATTTACCCTTAGCTAACTTCATTGTTGGGGACAGGGACAGCCAGGGGAAAGATAAGCTAGGCAAAATAAAATAGACTTTTAAATGGGTCAACCCGATACTATTTGGGGACATTTCAATTAATAGCATGTTATTTGGCAAGGCTGGTAAAATATCTATGAGTAAAAATTTGCAAACATCTTTAGGATCTCTTCAAAGCTGTGCTCTTTGTAAACATAAAGTGGTTTCATGGAACAAGATCGCAGCTTGTCAATACTTTCGCATTCTGTTGAGTTTCTTGTATGCTTATATGAAAATTAAGACATTGTTACTATGAGATATAACTGGAGCTGCCTTAGCCATGTAGAGATTGCAGTCTTTTCAGAAATAGCCAATACCATTTCAGTGGGAGCTAACAGGATTCATATCATGCTTTTAAATCTCTACAATAGCTTTTGAAACAGTTCAATCAAATATTTTGGTTTGTAGATTGAAGAATATATCTGTATTTATCAGTCACTAGAATTTAAAAAAATGTCTATCCAGAAATGTGGAAATATTGGAACAATGAACACCTGTACATCCACAATCCAGTTTTGACAGCTGTTAATATCTTGCCATCTTTGTTTCATCTCTGTCTCCTCTTCTTTCCCCAAATATATGTAATGGCTAAATATCTTAGCTAGTATCTCAAAATATTGAGAACCCAGTTTCCTACATTACTACTATCCCATTACACAAAATTAAAAATAAGTCCATATCATGTAGTTCCGTGGCCAAATTCACTTTTCTAAATTTCCCCCAAAATATCCTTTAAGGTTGATTAATGTCTTTAAGGTTGATTTTTTCAGGAACCAAAGAGACAAAATTAGTTATCCTGTTGAATATTCCATGTTCTCTTTTTATCTGATTGCCTCTTCATGCTGTCATTTAAGTCATCCCTCTGTCATCTGCATTTTTTATAAGCAGTGAGTTGGATCTAAAGCAGGATCAAATTCTGGTTAAATATTTTTGGCAAGAATGTCTTCTGTGTGATGCCATATACTAATAGTGCTTCAAATATAAATATAAAATCAGTGGCAGTCCCACTATTAGGGATGCTAAATCACTGGGTTAAGATTGATTGCAATTGTTGATATTTTCTCAAAGTTGTATATTATTGAAAGAGTGTTTTCTTTCTTTAAAGGATAGATATTAATTGCGACAGAAAAAAATTACAGATGGAAATGAAGCCATGCTCAATGGCAATACATTCTGCTTTAAATATGTGTTTGGATGTTTCTCACTGGTCTGGACCATATTATAACATGGCTTATTTTTCTTTTGTGTGCTGGAGGAATGGACAATAATAGTATTGTTTCTAGGGCTATATTTGTGCATCTTTTCAGAACCGTTCGGAGCTATCCATTTTCCTGAACAACCTCCTAAAGTCCTGGGAAGTGTGGATCAATTTAATAACTCTGGCCTACTGGTGGCATATACACCAGTCAGTAACATAGCATGAAGGATAATGAATAAGATGGCCTTGGTTTCCTTTATGAAGCATGTGTTGTCTAATAACCAATGTTTCAGTATTATGTGACTTAATTTCAAATTCTCTTTGCAGGTTGAATTTATTTACCTGGCCTATGGGTCAGTGATTCTCAACTGAGGCAAACATTATCATTATATATGCAGTACAGGGGTTGGTATAAGGCTAAGGGCAGGTGGGTAAGAGACAAAATAGATTTACTTTTTAATTTTTGTTACGACACACATACCCTGTCCCCTTTCTACTAGAACATATTGTTGCAGTAGGAAAAGAAGAAAAGATTGGGCCCATTTTAGATGAAACAAATTTCACTTTTCCCAAACTTAACAAACTTTTTATTTGGGTTTGCATTCTATAGTTTAAAGAGTTTCAAAAAATTTTAAGAATTCACTTATTTTCAATTTAGATTGAATAAATATAATTCCTAGTATAAAGGAACTATATGGTATATGTAGTTCCTAGTATATAGGAACTATAAATCAAGGATATTTGAAATTCAAACTCAAGCTTAACATTGGCATTGAAAAAGCATTACTGTTTGGTGTATAAAAATAGTTAAAATGTGGCCGGGCGCGGTGGCTCAAGCCTGTAATCCCAGCACTTTGGGAGGCCGAGGCGGGTGGATCACAAGGTCGAGCGATCGAGACCAACCTGGTCAACATGGTGAGACCCCGTCTCTACTAAAAATACAAAAAATTAGCTGGGCACGGTGGTGCGTGCCTGTAATCCCAGCTACTCAGGAGGCTGAGGCAGGAGAATTGCCTGAACCCAGGAGGCGGAGGTTGCGGTGAGCCGTGCCATTGCACTCCAGCCTGGGTAACAAGAGCGAAACTCCGTCTCAAAAAAAAAAAAAAAATAGTTAAAATGTATAGCTCAGGGCATGCAATATCTATTTAAAGTCAAACCAGGTACTGGCTACTGAAAGTCAACAAATTCAGGGCCCTTGATCACAGAGTAGTGAGGTGTTTTTGTTTGTTTGTTTTTCCACTAGGACTTCCTCTGTGTATCCGGACTCAGAAAATAGAGATCTCTTATGTAGGCTGCTGCATTAACTTGATATATGCATCTTATAAAGAAATACAAACATCCATAAGAGTCATACTTATTGTGTCAGACCTTTGCCTACCATCCTTTATATCTCTGCTGACATTAGGATTAACTACTGACTGTCAGCTGTGGTCTGTAGCCTGCTCCATAGAGGCCTTTGCTCCTGCATAGGCAGGTATTAGGATAAAATTTTCTTTTCTTCAGTAATCTTAGCCTACCATCAAATTTCTCTTGTGGTTAGCCCCCATTCTGTCAGGGTTCTAAACACTGGCCATTTCTTTCATACTTTTGTACATTTTACCCAAGCTGTTAACATCTCAGTTCTAATCACTGCTTTTTCTTGTCTTTCTGAAACTTTTATTTGTTTTTTTGGTGTCTGGATTGCCATGCCAAGGGACAACCTCCAAGCTCTGAATTTTATAATTATTTTATGCGAGTTACTAATATTCTGTGCCTAACCTATCCAAGCTTTGAAATGGGTATTGTTATCCCTGGCTACTTTACTCTGTTTTCTAATTCTTCATTGTAGTTTCTGGAGTTTTGACTTTGGTCGGCCTCCCTTACTTGCAATGTTTACATGTCCTGCCTGACCACAGTGTTGATTCTGCCCTAATCTGTCTCTACCTGCTTCCTTTGTATAGTCATTTACCTCATCTCTTCTTAATTCATGAAGCATTTACTGAAGCCTCAGGGACTATTCTTCCTGTATGTACAGTGTAAGCTACTGGCCACTTTCTGTCTTAGTCTCATGGACCATTCGAATCTGTCCCTTTCTTATATAAGGTATCTCATTCCAGATACCATACTGGCCTGCTCCAACCACAGCTCCTCTCTCACCATCTTATTCTACATTTATCTGACTCCTGCTTATTAGCATAAATATTCATGGGTTGGCCTTGACAGTATTTGTTATACCTCTAGAGAAAATCAGTGATGTTAGCATTATCCTCATAAAAGTTTCACAGCCTGACTCTATATTTGGAGGGATGAGGAGTTTTGAAAGTTGTGACTACAGGATAAAATAAACAGCTTTTTCATCTTAATGTAGACTTCACCCTGAGTGAGATTTAAAATTAATAAACATTTAGAACATAATACATAAACATGTAAAAAAAAAGGAGACACTAATTGGACTTCTGTGGTTTTCAAAGCTTTTAATAGTAATAGATCTATTAAACACTTATCAGGTGGGTGGATTACTTCTGCAGATGTAAACTCATTCATTATCCACTGATTACTATGTACTTTATTCTCAGAGAGTGTTCTTGACCTCAGAGAATCTGTAGGTAGACTATACTTTTGATTTTTGTACTCTGATTCTTTGTAATTTACTTCTACTAGCATACTATTTTCATGTGATAGATACCAGTTTATAATATTGGCAGAAAAAAAGAAAACACCAAATTCTCAGTATTTATATTGCTTACTTTAAATATTTTTCCTTTTAGTTCTTAAATTATTTTAGTCACCAAAGTAATCTCTACTCTAAAAAATGTTAAATAGTACAAACTTGTATGAAGCAAAATATGAGAGCTTTTCCTTTCATCTTTGGCATTACTTCCTTTCTTCTCCTCCTCATTCAAATTGTGTATGTCTTTTAAAAAAATATGTACATGGCCATATATAGAATATGTTTCTATGCTTACATAGGCACACAAATTCAGTTTTTCTTTACCAAAATGAGATCACACTAAAAACAATATGCTGCAACCTTTTAAAAGACAATATATCATTTGTGTCTTTTCATGTATTTACGTTGAACTTGAAACAATACACTTTCACTTAGCCTTTTACTAAGAGGCAACTATCCAGGAATAATATATAACAGCACTCTAATTTTATATAAAACAAGCAATTGCATTTTGTTTTTATGTTCTCTAGTAATAAGTTTACACGATTACATATTTATATTTTTTCATACGTGGTAGGAGGAACAGTCAGTCATTGGGACACCAGACAAAGAGACCATGGATATAGTACTTTCAAAAAAGTACCATGAAATGGTGGGAGTTGTATTTAGTGATATTTTTTCCTATCAACTGAAGTTTAATTGGAGATATAGAATCCCAGTTTTAAAGGAACACTCTGTATATACAGGTAACAATACGAAAACTGATTATAATATTTTTTTGCCACTTCATGGAATCCCCATTTCCCCCTGAACTTAATCATCACTTTTTACCTTAGGATGAGTCTCATTATTTTGGCAACTATTCATACGTTCTTTTTTTTTTTTCTTTTTGAGACAGAGTCTCCCTCTGTCACCCAGGCTGGAGTGCATTGGCGCCATCTTTGCTCACTGGAAACTCCATCTCCCAAGTTCAAGTGATTCTACTGCCTCAGCCTCCCGAGTAGCTGGGACTATAGGCATGCACCACCACACTAGGCCAATTGTTTTTTGTATTTTTAGTAGAGACAGGGTTTCACCATGTTGGTTAGGCTGGTCTAGAACCCCTAACCTCAAATGATCTGCCTGCCTTGGCCTCTCAAACTGCTGGGATTAAAAGCGTGAGCCACCGTGCCTGGCATTATATGTTCTTTTTGTAGAGTACTTTAAAAATCCTCTATATCATATAATAATAGGCTTTGAGCTGACATTTAGATATTTTTATTTTTGAGCCAAAATTAAAGTTTTAATTTCAGCAATTGACTCCATTATGTAACTATGGACAAGTTTTTCTTCTTCCTTAAAGAACACTGTTGGGCCATGAATGGTGAAAATTTTTGTTACTCAGCAATGTACTGGCTAAAAGGGTTTGTAGCTTTTCAAGCTGCAATTAATGCTGCAATTACAGAAGTAAGTGCCTAACTTTAAAGCTATATTTTAAATCTGTATTTTTCTCTCTTTTCTAATATCTGCCTCATCCCCTATATTACCCATACAGTCTTAGGAGGTGATACTTTGCCTCTCATCCTCAGAGAGAATAAAAGCTGTCCAGGCTGGGCGTGGTGGCTCACACCTATAATCCCAGCACTTTGGGAGGCTGAGGCAGGTGGATCACGAGGTCAAGAGATTGAGACCATCCTGGTCAACATGATGAAATCCCGTCTCTACTAAAAATATAAAAATTAGCTGGACATGGTGTTGCGTGCCTGTAGTCCCAGCTACTCGGGAGGCTGAGGCAGGAGAATTGCTTGAACCCAGAAGGCAGAGGTTGCAGTGAGCCGAGATCATTTCATTGCACTCCAGTCTGGGTAATAACAGTGAAACTGTCTCAAAAAAAGAAAAAAAGCTGTCCAATGGGAATATTTTCCAACCTGTAACATAAATCCTGAAAAAACTATAGACCTACAACACCCTACACCCATTCTTTTCCTTCTTTTTTTTTAAAAGAAATTTATTTTACTTTAGGTTCTGGGGCACTTGTGCAGGTCATGCAGGTTCGTTGCATAGGTGCATACTATATCTGACATTTCTCCCCAGGTTATCCCTCGCCACCCTTACCACCCCCATTGTCCCTCCCTTACGCACCCCCCAACTGCCCCTAGTGTGTGATGCTCCTCTCCCTGAGTCCACGTGTTCTCATTGTTCAACACCCGCCTATGAGTGAGAACATGCGGTGTTTGATTTTCTGTTCTTGTGTCAGTTTGCTGAAATGATGATTTCCAGATTCATCCAAGTCCCTACAAAGGACATGAAATCATCATTTTTCATGGCTGTGTAGTATTCCATGGTGTATATGTGACACATTTTCTTTGTCCAGTCTATCATTGATGGGCATTTGGGTTGGTTCCAGGTCTTTGCTATTGTAAACAGGGCTGCAGTGAACATATGTGTGCATGTGTCTTTATAATAGAATGACTTACAGTTCTTTGGGTATATAACCAGTAATGGGATTGCTGGGTCAAATGGAATTTCTATTTCCAGATCCTTGAGTAATTGCCACACTCTCTTCCACAATGGTTGAACTAATTTACATACCTACCAACTGTGTAAGAGTGTTCCTATTTCTCCACATCCTCTCCAGCATATGTTGTCTCCAGATTTTTTAATGACTGCCATTCTAACTGGTGTGAGATGGTATCTTAATGTGGTTTTGATTTGCATTTCTCTAATAACCAGTGATGAAGAGCATTTTTTCATATGTTTGTTGGCCTCATATATGTCTTCTTTTGAAAAGTGTCTGTTCATATCCTTTGTCCACTTTTGGATGGGGTTGTTTGTTTTTTTCTTGTAAATCTGTTTTAGTTCTTTGTAGATTCTGGATATTAGGCTTTTATCAGATGGGTAGATTGCAAAAATTTTTTTGCATTCTGTTGGTTGCCGGTTTGCTCTAGTGATGGTTTCTTTTGCTGTACAGAGCTCTGGAGTTTAATTAGATTCCATTTGTCTGTTTTGGCTTTTGTTGTCATTGTTTTTGGTGTTTTAGTCATTAAGTCCTTGCCTATGCCTATGTCCTGAATGGTTTTGCCTAGGTTTTCTTCTAGGGTTTTTATGGTGTTAGGTAGTGTAAGGTGTTAGGAAGGGGTCCAGTTTCTCTTTTCTGCACATGGCTAGCCAGTAATCCCAACACCATTTATTAAATAGGGAATCCTTTCCCCATTGCTTGTTTTTGTCAGGTTTGCCAAAGATCAGATGGTTATAGATATGGTGATAAAATCTCTCAGCAATTGCTTGTTTGTAAAGGATTTTATTTCTCCTTTGTTTATGAAGCTTAGTTTGGCTGGGTATGAAATTCTCAGTTGACAGTTCTTTCCTTTAAGGATGTTGAATATTGGCCCCCACTGTCTTCTGGCTTATAGGATTTCTGCTGAGAGATCTGCTGTGAGTCTGATGGGCTTCCCTTTGTGGGTAATCTGACCTTTCTTTCTGGCTGTCCTTACCAATTTTTCCTTCATTTCAACCCTGGTGCATCTGATGATTATGTACCTTACAGTTTCTCTTCTTGAGGAATATCTTTGTGGTGTTTTCTGTATTTCCTGTACTTGAATGGTGCCCTGCCATGCTAGGTTGGGGAAGTTCTCCTGGATAACCTCCTAAAGAGTGTTTTCCGGGTTAGATTTATTCTCTCCATCACATTCAGGTACACTTATCAAACATAGATTAGGTCTTTTCATGTAATCCCATACTTCTTGGAGGTTTTGTTCATTTCTTTTCACTCATTTTTCTCTGATCTCGCCTTCTCCTTTTATTTCATTGAGTTGATATTCAATCTCCGATATTCTTTCTTCTGCTTGGTCAATTCGGCTATTGAAACTTATGTATGCTTCATGAAGTTCTTATGTTGTGTTTTTCAGCTCCATCAAGTCATTCATATTCTTCTCTAAGCTGTTTATTCTAGTTAGCATTTCATCTAATGTTTTTTCAAGGTTCTTAGTTACTTTGCAATGGGTTAGAACATGTTCTTTTCACTCTGAGAACTTTGTTATTACCCTGAAGCTGAAGCCCATTTCTGTCAATTCATCAGACTTATTCTCCACCCAGCTTTGTTCCTTTGCTGGTGATGAGTTGCGATCCATTGGAGGAAGAGAGGCATTCTGGTTTTTGGTGTTTTCATCCATTTTGTGCTGATTTCTTCCCATCTTTGTGGATTTATCTACTTGTTTCTTCGTAGTTGGTGACTTTCGGATGAGGTCTCTGAATGGATGTACTTTTTGTTAATGATGAAACTATTTCTTTCTGTTTTTTTTTCCTTCTAACAGCCAGGCTCCTCTGCTATAGGACTGCTGAGGTCCACTCCAGGCCCTGCTTGGCTGGGGATCATCTGTAGCAGATGCAGACCAGTAAGGGTTGCTACCGTTTCTTCTTCTGTTATCTTTGTCCCAGAAGTATACCTGCCAGATGTCAGCATGATCTCTCCTTTGTGAGGTGACTCGTTGGATATATGGGGTTCAGGGAGCTGCTTGAGGAGACAGTCTGTCCATTATAGGAGCTCAAGTGCTGAGCTGTGAGCTCCATTCTTTTCAGAGCTGCTGGGCAGGTACATTTAAGTCTGCTGCAGCAGAACTCATACTGCCTTTTTTCCCAGGTACTCTGTCCTGGGAAGGTGTGGCTTTATATGTTCCTGATGTGCCGCTGCCTTTTTTTCAGAAATGCCCTGCCCAACAAGGAGGTAGCCTTAGTCACAGTCTGCCAGCAGAGGCGCTGTTGAGCTACCGTGGGCCCTGCTTAGCTGCCGTGTGAACTTCCTTGTGGTTTTGTTTATAGAGGTATAGTTAGAACTGCTTCAGTAATAGTGGTCTGCCTCATTAATGGCGGACTGCCTCTGTAATGGCAGACTGCCTCAGTCACCGTGGACTGCCTCAGTAATGGTGGATTGCCTCAGTAGTGATGGACTGCCTCGTTAATGACGATCGCCCTTCCCCTAACAAAGCTGGACTATCTTGGGTCCAGCTGCACTTGCTGCAAAACTCTCAATCCAGAGCTTTTCAGATTGCTGGTCTTTGTTGGGGTGGGACCCACCCAGCCAGGTCATCTGGCTCCCTGTTTCAGCCCCCTTTTTGTCAGTTGAATGGGTGGCTCTGTCTCCCAGGCATTTCAGGCACCAGTTGAATCAGCCACCCAGATTTGTGTGACTTTTTGTGTGGAGATCTGCTGCACCAGCTGAAACAGCTGTCCTGGAAACTCATGGTGTTTTTCAGCCCGGGAATATCCTGGTCTGTGAGCAGTAATAACTCGTTTGGAAATGCAGTGTTCACTCACCCTCTGTGTTGTTCTTGCTGCGAACTGCAATCCAGAGCTGTTCCCATTTGGCCATCTTGGATCCTGGATATTAACTCTTTACCTCAAATTAATTTTCTTTAGCCCCTAAAGCCCAGAAACCTCATAGATAAAATTAGAATTCTTTGTAGTAGGTAGAGGAAAAAATAAGCTGTAAATTCTCCAAAGTTAATGTCTTTCTGTTTTACAATTCTATGACATATTACATATTTCCTCTTTACTAAAGTTTTGGTTTTCTGTAGTAAACACACTTTTTTTCTTAATACATTGTTATAAAATTTAATTAGTAATTCACTGTTTTTATACTTAATTGACCACAAAAAATTTTTAAAAATAATTAATTTAATTTCCAAAATTTTGACATATTTATCACGTGCACATAATGTTTTGAAATAGGAGCATGATCTTCATCAGTACAGTCTACTGATTTCTTCCAGAAATAGCCTCATAGACACAGCTAGAGGTAATGTTTTGTCAGCTATCTGGACACTCCTTAGCCCAGTCTAATGATACATGAAGTGAACCATCACAACTCATATCATTAAGACTTGGCTCCAACATCAGTTCTCCTATCCCTGTTGCAGACCAACTCTGGAACTTCTGTAGCTCTGGAGCTCACCTTGATCACAGCACTTCCCATATTCCATGGTGACTGTGGGTTTGGCAGTCTCTCCTACTTTGTAAACTGCTTTGGGGCAGTACCCTGTAATTTATATCTGCATGAAGCAATTCAAACGAGCAGTCTGAAACAACAAATCTTTGTTTACTTAAAGGATGATTCAAGTGAAAAAAAAAAAAAAGAAATAGCATACATTGTGAACTTAGCTAAATCTAGCTAATTAACATATTTGTTACCTCATATACTTATTTTTTGTGTTGAGAACTCTTAAAATCTACTCTCTTAGCAATTTTCAGGAATACATTGTTATTAACTATCGTCACTATATTGTGCAACAGGTCTCTTGAATTTATTCCTCCTATTTAACTAAAATTTTGTATCCTTTGACTAACAAACATCTTCCCAACCTTTCCAACTCCTGCCCTCTCCCTACCCCCTGCCAGGCTCTGGTAGCCAAGATTCTATTCTTCAGTTTGTTCCACTTTTTCAATTCTATATATACGTGAGATCATGTGGTATTTATATTTCTGTATCTGGCTTATTTTAGCTAATGATCCCAAGATTCATGAATGTTGTCACAAATGACAGAATTTCCTTTCTTTTACAAGCTAAATATTATTCTATTGTATATATACACCACAATTTGTTTATCCTTTCTTCATTGATGGACACTGAGTTTGTTGTTTTCATATCTTTACTATTGTGAATAATACTGCAGTGAACATGGGAGTGCAGACAGCTCTTCAATGTAATAGTTTCATTTTCCTAGGGTGTATACCAGAAGTGTAATTGCTCAATCATATGGTAGTTCTATTTTTAACTCTTTGGGGAAGCTCCATCATGTTTTTCATAATGGTTGTACTAATTTACATTTTCACCAACAGTTGCAAGACTTCCCTTTTCTCCACATCCTTGCCCACACTTTTTACCTTTCATCTTTTTGATAGCATTCGTTCTAACACATGTGAGGTGCTATGACATTGTGGTTTTAATTTGCATTTCCCTGATGATTAGTGATGTTATGTACTTTTTCATATTCTTGTCAGCCATTTGTCTTCTTTTCAGAAATGTTTACTCAGGTCCTTTGCTCATTTTCAAATTGGGTTATTTTTTCTTGCTATTGAGTTTGCTATTTTGTATATTAACCTCTTATCAGATGTATCATTTACAAATATTTTCTATTCACTTTCCTGGTAGTTTTATGAAGAGAGCTGTTGACTTCAAAATTTCAGTCCCTCTACTCCCTAAAGGAAGATCATCTAGGATTTGAGGGGGACACAACTGGAGAGATGGAAATACTTAGAATGTTGTATCAGTTTAGATCTGGTTAGAAAAAGTGAGTTATTGGAAACATTGTGTGAGTAAAGGGTTTAATACAGGGATTAGGTATTCACAGACGTACAAGAGTTAGAGGAGAGAAGGCTAAGTTATAGCCAGAAAGCCAGGGAAGTAGCCAGTGAGGACCTTAGCCTAATGCACAGAAATGGGTGTTTTTCAAGAAGTTTGTCAGTATAATGCTGCAAATATCAGGAATTTTCTAGGAACTCTTCCACCAGTTATCTTAATCTTCAGTAGCAAAGCAGTGCTTGTCAAGATGTCTGAGAGGTAGAAGCTGCTGCATACCTTGAGCCTGTGGATATGCTTGGCTCATGTGACCTGAAAATAATGACCTTGCTTGATTTCTGCTCTCGAAATCTTGCTCAAGTTCTTCTCATTAGCAAAATCTGATACTGAAAAGAGGGTTCTGGGAAATCTAGTCCCTGGTATGTCCTCTGCATTGCAGAAGAAAAGAGACTGTTGCTGATAGAAAAGGGATAATTAACAATCCAGCACAGAGGTCATATCCCTGGTTGAGGTGAAAGATGACAAGAATCTGGGCAAGAAGGTAATAGAAAAGTGGTAAAAAGATAAATTCAAATAGATTTAAAAAGTTAAATTCATAAATTCTTGAAGTTAAATTGTAATAAATTTTTAGGTCACAGGATGGGGTGAGAAAGGGAGAGAGAGAGCTAAGGATGTCTCTCAGGCTCAGGCTCTTAGCTTGAGTTCCTGGGTAGATAGTAGAAATGCTAACTGAGATAGAGAATGGAAGTGGGCCAGTTGAGAGGAAAATATAATGCATACAGTTTGACATCCAAGTACAGATATATAGTAAAAAGCAGAATATGTATCTGAAACTTTGAAGAAATATCTAAAGACACAAATTTGGGAATCATTAGAATTTAGGTAGGAGTTGAAGCCATGAGAATGGGTAAGATTGTATGGAAAAGATATGAGAATAAAAAATAGTTGGTCAATTGTAAAATCCAATTGAAGGAGTCCATAAGTATGCCAAAGCAGAATATTAAGAGGAAGATGTGAAAGCCAAAGGGTAGAAGCCAGGGAAGTAGAGGCTTATGAAAACAAAAGAGTGAGCAATAGTTTAAAACAGTGATGAGATATACCAAATAAGGACCAAAAAGTGTTCATTAGATGTGGTAACTAGAATGGTCATTAGTGAATTTTGTTGTGAATAGTTTTTGTAGAGTGGTGTGGTGAGACACTATATTGCCTTAAGTTGGGAAATAAATGTGGGATAAAGAAATGGAAATAGGGAGTAAAGATCATTATTTTGACAAATTTGCCTGTGGAAGATAATGACCGAGAGTGATTCAGGATTGAGGGAAAGCCTCTCTCCCTTTTTCTTTCTGTCCCTTCCTTCTTTATTTCTTTTATTTTAAATCAGTTTTAGCTTTCTCTTATTCATTTGGTAACTTAGAGAAATAGCTGGAATATATGAAATGCCAAGCTTGATAACAGTAGTAGCAGGTCTGTGTAAATCTCTTTTGGGAGTGGTGAGGGGATCCTTAGATCCCATTAAGAGTGACACCCTTTACTGTGAAGTTCAGGCTTAGTTATGAACTGTAATCTGTGTTACTAATATTAGAAAATGCATTTACCTCAAAATTACTTTATCTTCTTTCAGAATCAGAAATGTTAAAAAAATATATATAATGGAAAGCCTGGAAAAGTAGAAGCATTGCAGGTAAAAATAAAAACTTCATTGTTTTGATAATGTTTTAGACTAAAACACAGCTTTGTTTTAAACTAAGAAACATTTTTGTGATCCGAAAATACAAATAATTATTGTGTAACAGAGAATAAATATGGAGAAAACAAAAATATTAAAAATATGTTTATACTCTGAGGGATAATCACCAATAATGTATTATCTTTTTTGATATTTAGATGTATATATACAATAATTCTTCAAAAATAGGAATACACTCTTTATATAAGTTTATAATCCTTGACCTGACTTTCTCAAACTAAGCTTGAAGTTTCAAGGAAACTGGTTTTACTGTCATAGAATTCTTCATCATCCATTTTGAGCTGTGGTTTGCCTGATTTTTGATTGTCTGACAATCTAATTCCTTGTTTTCTGTCTTCAGAAAGTCTCTTAAAATTTCTGACATGCTAACTGAATTCTTGTTTTCTAATGGAGTTAATTTTTCAAACATTAAAAAAATTGTCAAATCTTAGGAGCATACATGTGAAAATGACTGTGGCATATCTTAGATCCCAACAGATATCTCTAAATATCATGCCCACAGTTTTGTGATATAAAACAGAATGATGACCAGTACCAGGAGATAATTTACCAGTGTTCTCCTTACTAACTCTACCTCCCTCTGAATATGAAATAAACTCTCCCCCTTTGTCTCTACACCTGGCCCTCTGTCTCTAGCTATGCAAGCCTCAGGGAGACAGGTTCTTAAGCCACACTTCTTTCCTTTGCCTGGGAAGCAAATAAACTATGTCTTGTTTTTATTCCTAGTAGGTCTTTGCTTTATTATTTCATATTAAATGTATAGATTCTTTGACATTCAAAGGATTTGAGAGAAGCAAGAAGGTAGAAATTTACACTGCAAGTCTTAACCCAATTTCTCCAGACAAATTGAAGCTTTGTCTTCATAAATACATAACTTATACAATTAAATGAATAATATTACAGGGAATGTATTAAAATACCAACGAAATGAAATACTGAGATGCATTTTACTTTTCCATCTGCATATAATCCAAAATCTAATTTCCACATTTTATTCTAAAACAGGCATATTTTTTGACATATACAAAGGACAGATCACTGCAATACTTGGGCATAATGGAGCTGGTAAATCAACACTGCTAAACATTTTTAGTGAATTATCTGTTTCTACAGAAGGTAAGAAAATAATTTTACAAAGTAAGTTTGCTGAAAAAGCAAGTTGTAAATTGATTCAATTTTGTAAAAATGTTTCTCTAAATTGAACTTATCTCATATGTACATCTCGATTCCATCATTATTTGACATTCCATGTATACTTTGCATTGCTGTGGATACAGATATTTATGTTAAGAGTAATCTGAATTACTCAATATCTTAATTACGCAATTGGAAATGTGAAGCTTCTTTAATCAAAACAAGTTTTTTGAACAAAATCTAAACACTAACATATATTATCACTCTGCATAGAATTAACATTCTGGCATTAAAGCCTTTTATATTTCTATTTATAGGATCAGCCACTATTTATAATACCCAACTCTCTGAAACAACTGACATGGAAGAAATTAGAAAGAACATTGGATTTTGTCCACAGTTTAATTTTCAATTTGATTTCCTCACTGTGAGAGAAAACCTCAGGGTATTTGCTAAAATAAAAGGAATTCAGCCAAAGGGTATTTGCTAAAATAAAAGGAATTCAGCCAAAGGAAGTGGAACAAGAGGTAGAGAAACATGCTAAAATCGACAGCTTTGGAATTAATTTACTTTTGACTATATTTTTGTTCAGCAATTACTTTACTCTTTGATACATATAACTTAATGAAGTTCTAAAATAATTTCTTTTTATTTTTAGAGAGTAAAAACTGCTTAAAATGAAATATTTGGTATTTTTTTGGATAGGTAAAAAAATTGTAATGGAATTAGACATGCAAAGCATTCAAGACATTATCACTAAAAAAATTAAGTGGTGGGCAGAAGAGAAAGCTAACATTAGGGATTGCCATCTTAGGAGATCCTCAGGTGAGAGAAACAATATATTTTTACAATTAATTTAGATTCAAGGTTATACAACTATTATTAAAGTCCAACTTCTACTGTAATTACAAAATGTGAGGGAAAATTTATAATAAAGTACCATGCAAGCCTGTTAGGGATCTGGTGGAGGACTGTATTGGAGTCTAGAAATCTTATTGGTTTTCATGGTGCTTTCTGAAGATCCCCACTGTGAAGAGGAAGATGCTTTCATATGTTTCCTCCACTGTAGGTTTTGCTACTGGATGAACCAACTGCTGGATTGGATCTCTTTTCAAGGCACTGCACGTGGAGCCTCCTGAAGGAGCATAAAGTAGACCAAGTTATCATCTTCAGTACCCAATTCATGGATGAGGCTGACATCTTGGCTGGTGATTCTTGGCTTCTTTATTCCAACTAGTTATTTAAGGATTTAATGTGAGGGTTATTTTTCATAGCCTGTTTCCAAAAAAAAGGAAATCTTGTCTGCAGTTCATTTGAATGACTGTATTCTAAAAATGCACTTTGCCTCAGAGGAATTCTGATCTCCCAATTAGTTCTTAGACCCATGCTTTATGTATCTTCTTCTTGTCTTTAACTTTCTTGACTGTTTACATTAGTAACAAGTGTATTTAAAACATTATTAAACACCAGTATTACCCTTCATACATAGAAAAAATCTTTAGCTGGGAAAATTATTTTTGAATTTACAATCCTTTGTTGCCAGTTTAGGAAGATCTTTGTTTACTGAGTGAGGTGTTGAGTGTGAAGTTGCAAGGTTGAAAAATTAGACATAGAACAACATATTTTTGCCTAGGAAATAAAGATAAGTGGGAAGACTAGTTTCAGTGAGCCAGGAGAGTATGTGAATGGACAGTGAAAAAAATAAAGCCAGAAAGGGACTCAGAGAAAACAGAATATTTTGCTGTGTATAAAATGGTATAAAATGTAACACTAATCTCAATTCCTTCAAGAATCTGAGGTAAGATAAGTTTAACTTCTTGTATTCGTTATTTCTTGTCTCAATAATGCTGTGTAATGAAGCTTCCTCAGAGTCAGTGCCTTAAAACAATAATTATTTGTTTAGTGCATGAGTTGGAGAGTTGGCAATTTAGCATGGGTTCACAGTGGAGATTTTCAGGTCTTGACTGGATCCTAGGGGGTCAAGCAGCCATTGACTAAGGTGACTCAAAATTCAAGGTGTATTTCATTCTCAAGCAGGCTAGCCCAGTAGTATTCCCGTGGCAGTGACTGAGCCTCCAGAGACCAAATCAAAATACAGAAGCCCATTTCAAGCCTCCACATGCCATTGGCTACAGCAAGTCATATGGGGCAAACCCTGCAAAGTTACATAGCAAAGTATGTGGACAAAGGAAGAGGCAAAGAATTGGGCCATCACTGGAAAGTTTTTTTGGCACTGGATTAGCTATGGGGAATGCAGTGAATTTCTGAAGCCAGTTTCACAATAGGCATGGGGATTAGAAATGATACTGCACGAGGGGCTTAATGATATTACAGTTGCGTTTATATTACAAATGCCATTCAGTGTTTTGGTATCTAAAGTAGGGAATATACCATATAAGGAATTACTCTTCACATAATTTTTTGAATCTTCCTTTCTATTCAGATAGGAAAGTATTTCTGTCTAATGGGAAGTTGAAATGTACAGGATCATCTTTGTTTCTGAAGCAAAAGTGGGGTATTGGATATCATTTAAGGTATGTGTTCTAGGTGTAGTTATTTTTAAATGAGCATATTAATATGGGAGTGACATTTTGTAGAAGCTTTTAGAAATATAAGATAGTCAACTTAACTTGGTAGAAATTGTTTTGCACTAAATGGTTCAAAATGTCTTCCTCATTAACATTTCCTTTGTTGGTTATCTCTTGATTTTAAGCATGCTAATTAAAAAATACAATACAACTTCTCAATACAACATTTTTAAGCCAATATTTGTATAGAAAAAAATTATCTTTATGTCCTCAATAAGCCATTGATTACTTTTAGCAAAACAATTTGGCCTAAAATTCTGTAGTTATATTCCAAATCTAATTGATAGAATGGCAGAATATCACATGGGAACATTTTAGAAAGCATCAAATATTCACAAATAAGCTCTGCAAATATAAGTTGATGACATTAAAAGAAACCATTTACTGCATAGAGAGCAACTGTTTATTAAATACCTTATTAATTTTCCAGTTATTCAGAAGCAATGTTTCGTGTGTCTTACAGCCTGTGTTTGTTATATATATATATATCTCATACATGTAGCACAATCATAATTTTATATATGAATATATACACACAAATATATACATATGTATTATGTGTGTGTGTGTGTCTGTGTGTGTGTGTGTGTGTGTGTGTGTGTATGTATGCTAGAATGTCACTGTACTTTAATTGCATTTAGGGGAATTGGTGTTGATATGTACTATATTTTTACCATTTAAGATAACGCAAAATAGGCTACCAGTGAGCACTTTGAAGTTGAATTAGCAATTTGAGGTGGAGTATTTGATTTGCAGGAACCAGTTACTAGAGTTAAGTAGAATATGCCTGTAATACATATAAGCTGTTTATTAAAATCTATTATTTCATGAGTGGTGGTGTTGGAGAAGAATTCGAGACTTATGCCTCTTTTGAAATAATAGTTTACACAGGAATGAAACGTGTGACACAGGGAAAATCATGTTCTTATTAAGCAGCACATTCCTGATGCCAAGTTAACAACAGAAAGTGAAGAAAAAGTTGTGTATGGTTTGCCTTTGGGAAAAGCTAACAAATTTCCAAGTAACTTATTGTGTAATCACATAGAATATATTTAAGTGTTCATGATTATGCTGACTGCATTTTCTGTTTTTCTATGAATCAAGTTCTAAAGCTTACAAAAATGAAAATATTTATTCATAAGTAATTTGTTCCTGTTTCCAATATTTGTGTTACCAGAGATGTATTAGAGCAACTAGAATTTCCATGAATATAGAAACCCAGATTTGCACTCTTCATCAGAATTTAACTTTGAAATATCTCTTTTCTGAAATAGAAGTTTCTGTTAGAAATGCAGATGAAATAAGACTTTATCTTTTAAAGCATATGTAAGTAATTCAATATAGTCTTTGAAAATTATAATTTTATTATAAATACAAAATGGTTAGTATAGAAAAGTTAGAAAATACAGAGGAGAAGGTATAACTTAGTAAGTTTTTAGGTAGACATACAGATATATTCTTATACAAACACACATGGCCATAATGATACAAGAATTTTAAAGTTTATAAAATAAAATTGAAATGTAAAATGTTAAAAATTGATTTGAATGAGAAGAGAATATCTTATGGAAAAGGTTTCCTTGGATTATTGTGATTGCTTTAATATGAAAACATTTGTAGACATCTATTTTGAGTAACATTGAGAAATTAGTATTTTAATGTACTCATTGATAATTTTAATTGCATTGACCTATTACTATCAACTTTTTATATCTTTACAGTGACCTTGATAAGTGTTCTGACCAAGGAATAAGGAATTATGATGTTTCCATGACAACTCTGAATGAAATATTCTTGAACCTACAAGGCAAATCAGCAATTGATGAACCAGGTATAAAAATGTGTGTCTAGCAGAAGGATTAATTAAAAAAAGAGAAGAGAAAAAGATGATGTACTAATTAATATTTGTAGGTTTTTATATGGATTTCTGCCTATAATATGCATTAGACAGACAATAGCATTGTTCGCTTTTAAAAGTATTGTAATCATTTTATATAAAGTATAATTAGTCTTGTTGCTATGCAAATTCCTTTCCAAAATCTGTCTGCTTCCCACGTCAGTGAGAGGCACCTCTCTTTGCAATAGCCACTTCTTTCTTATCATCAAAAGCTCTCTGCTTTAGTGAAGAATCCTGGTATTGCCTCTTGCCATTCCTTACAAAAATTTGCTTTTAATGAGCAAATAAATGAATTCTAATTAATGTATTAATAAGAAGCAATAAAATGTTATTTCCTTAGTTTACTTTGTAATAGTAACAATTATAAGAATTTAGGAGGCTACTATACATAGACCAATGGACCAAGTTAGAGAGCTCAGCAATAAAGCCACACACCTACAATCATCCAATCTTCAGCAAAGCTAGTAATAACAAACAATGAGGAAATGGCTCCCTATTCAATAAATTATGCTGGGATAACTGGTTAGCCACAAGCAGAAGATTGAAACTGGAGGCCTACCTTTCACACTATACAAAAATCAACTTAAGATAGATTAAAGACCTATGAAATACCATTCATAGAACATTGGTCCTGGCAAAGACTTCATGACGAAGACTCCAAAAGCAATTACAACAAAAAGAAAAATTGACAAGTGAGACCTAATTAATCTAAAGAGCATCTGCACAGCAAAATAAACTGCCAACAGAGTAAACAGACAACCTACAGAATGGGAGAAAATATTTGCAAACTGTGCATCCAACAAAGGTATAATATTCAGAATATAAGAGCTTAAACAAATCAATAAGCAAAAACAAACAACCCCATTAAAATGGACAAAAGACATAAACAGATACTTCTCAAAAGAATACATACATGTGACCATCAAGCATATGAAAAAATTCTCCATATCATGAATTAATGGGAAAATGCAAATCAAACCATGAGATACCATCTCATACCAGTCAAAATGGCTATTATTAAAAAGTCAAAAAATAACAGATACTGATAAGGTTGTGGAGAAAAGGGAAGGATTATGCCCTGTTGGTGGGAATGTAAATTAGTTCAGACACTACGGAAAGCAGTCTGGAGATTTCTCAAAGAACTTTAAATAAAACTCTCATCTGACCCAGCAGTCCCATTACTGGGTATATAGCCAAAGCTATATAAATCATTCTACTATAAAGACACCTACAGATATGTTTATTGCAGCATTATTCACAATAGTAGACATAAAATCAACCTAGATGCCCATCAGTGATGGACTGGACAAAGAAAATGTGGTACATGTACACTATGTAATACCACGCAGCCATAAAGGATGAGATCACGTCCTTTGCAGCAACATGGAGTAAGCTGGAAGCCATTATCCCAAATGAATTAACACAGAAACAGAAAACCAAATACCGTATGTTCTCATTTATAAGTAAGCACTAAACATTGAGTAACATGGATGCAAAGAAGAGAACAATAGACACCAGGACCTACTTAAGTGTAGAGGATGAGAATTGAAAAATGACCTATTGGGTATTATTATGCTGATTACCTGGATAGCAAAATTGTCTGAACACCAAAGCCCCAAATCCCCATGGCACACAATTTACCCATGTAACAAGCCTACACTGGTATTCCTTGAACTAAAAATAGAATTCAGAACAAAAAAAGAATTTAGTGGACTGCTATATACCAGCCATTGTGCTCAGTCCTTGAATGATACTGTTTTTAACTCCCATAAAAGCATCAATCAGCCCATGAGAAAACTATATTTGAAGTTGTGTGATTAGCCAAAATTGTACAGTTAATGTGTGATATATGTGAGACTCAAACAGGAGGACTTTCGATCATTTAAAAGCACAATGTCTTGAACTTATTACTGAGATGTCAATTATCAGTGTTGAACTAATCCTGTAGGGAGAATTCCAGATGACAGAGGAGACTTTTTGGAAACTCAGTTACATAAATTTGTCTTTGTGCTTCCACATGAATCTTGCTCCACAAAAGTATCCATTAGTGAAGAGCTGCTGTTACTGGTGTGAAAGAATAAATCCTTGTTTGGAAGTCTCAGTCATCCTCGAAAATTAATTTACTGTCTCATTGGAATTGAATCCATTACATATGTTTGAAGGAACGATTTTTAATGTGAATTTTGATTGTGGATGTCAGTAGCTTAACTTAGTAGTGCTGTCTCAAGTAGTTTAACATGTTTTCGGATATAAAATCGATGTGCAAAAATCACAAGCATTCCTATACACCTAGAACAGACATAAAGAGCGCCAAATCAAGAACCAACTGCTATTCACAATTGCTACAAAGAGAATAAAATACCTAGGAATACAACTTACAAGCAACGTAAGGGACCTCTTCAAGGAAAACTACAAACCACTGCTCAACGAAATAAGAGAGGACACAAACAGATGGAGAAACATTCCATGTTCATGGTTAGGAAGAATCAGTATCGTGAAAATGGCTATACTGCCCAAAGTAATATATACAGACTCAACACTATCCCCATCAAGCTACCATTGAATTTCTTCACAGAACTGGAAAAAACCACCTTGAACTTCATATGGAACCAAAAGAGAGCTCGCATTGCCAAGTCAATTCTAAGCAAAAAGAACACAGTGGGAGGCATCACACTACTGGACTTCAAACTATACTACAAGGCTACAGTAATCAAAACAGCATGGTACTGGTACCAAAACAGAGATATAGACCAATGGAACAGAATAGAGGCATTGGAGGAAACACAACATATCTACAACTATACAATCTTTGATAAACCTGACAAAAGCAATGGGGAAAGGATTTCCTGTTTAATAAATGGTGTTGGGAAAACTGGCTAGCCATGTGCAGAAAGCAGAAACTGGACCCCTTCCTGATACCTTACACTAAAATTAACTCCAGATGGATTAAAGACTTAAACATAAGACCTGGCACCATAAAAACGCTAGAAGAAAATCTAGGCAAAACCATCCAGGACATAGGAGTAGGCAAGGACTTCATGAACAAAACACCAAAAGCATTGGCAACAAAAGCCAAAATAGACAAATGGGACCTAATCAAACTCCACAGCTTCTGCACAGCAAAGAAACAGTCACTAGAGTGAATCGGCAACCAACAGAATGGGAAAAAATTTTTGCAGTTTACCCATCTGACAAAGGGCTGATATCCAGAATTTACAAAGAACTCAAACAGATTTACAGGAAAAAACAAACAAGCCCATTCAAAAATGGGCAAAGGATATGAACAGACACTTTACAAAAGAAGACATACATGAGTTCAACAAACATATGAAAAAATGCTCATCATCACTGGTCATTAGAGAGATGCGAATCAAAACCACATTGAGATACCATCTCACTCCAGTTAGAATGGTGATCATTAAAAAATCTGGAGACAACATATGCTGGAGAGGATGTGGAGAAATAGGAACACTTTTACACTGCTGGTGGGAGTGTAAATTAGTTCAACCATTGTGGAAGACAGTGTGGCGACTCCTCAAGGACCCAGAAATAGAAATTCCATTTGACCCAGCAGTCCCATTACTGGTTATATATCCAAAGGACCATAAATCGGTCTACCATAAGGACACATGCACACGAATGTTCATTGCAGCACTGTTTACAATAGCAAAGACCTAGAACCAACCCAAATGCTCATCGATGATAGACTGGACTGGGAAAATGTGGCACATATACACCATGGAATATTATGCAGCAATAAAAAATGATGAGTTTGTGTCCTTTGTATGGACATGGATGAATCTGGAGAACATCATTCTCAGCAAACTGACACAAGAACAGAAAATGAAATATCGCATATTCTCACTCATATGTGGGTGATGAAAAATGAGAACACATGAACACAGGGAAGGGAGTACTACACACTGGGGTCTATTGGGGGGAATAGGGGAGGGACAGTGGGGTGGGGAGCTGGGGAGCGATAGCATGGGAAAAATGCCAAATGTGGGTGAAGGGGAGGAAGGCAGCAAAACACACTGCCATGTGTGTACCTATGCAGTTATCTTGCATGTTCTGCACATGTACCCCAAAAGCTAAAATGCAAAAAAAATAAAAATAAAAAAACATATTTCTAAAGAGAAAGTGCAGGTAACATAGCCTATTAAAATGTTTTATTGCATGATTGTAGATTTTGACATTGGGAAACAAGAGAAAATATATGTGACAAGAAATACTGGAAATGAGTCTGAAATGAAACAGGTCCTCTGTTCTCTTCCTGAAATGAGAATGACTGTCAGTGATGCAGCTCTCTGGAGACAACAAATCTGTGCAGTGGCAATACTTTGCTTCTTAAAGTTAAGGCATGAAAGGAGAGCTCTTTTGTGTTTGTGAGTATCATATTACTTTATATCTATTCAGTCAATATATAAAAAAAGTTCAAGTATTAAGAAAATAAATATATTAATTTATTATTCATTTAATAGTTTTTTAGTATCTTTACCTATCCTGCTGCTACTGAGGTAAAGGACCTCACTGCCTAATGTGCTAGAAGCCAGTACTATGACACTAGATTTTTGAGAAAAATAAGAGGGTTTTATTGCAAGTTGACTCACAAGGAGACAGGAGACCAGCTCAAATCTGTCTCCCTGTGCTGGCTTTAAGGTAGCAATTTTATTAAAAAAGATTTAGAGGGTAGATTCTGGGATTAGCATGGTAGAAGAAAAGGAGAGATCTAGAAAGTCCTCAGGCATGCACAGATACCTCTTCTTGCCTCCTCATTTGTCCCTTATCCAAATTCAAGCACAGTTGGTATGAAATACATAGTGAAAATTCAGGCTGTGAAGTCAGCAAAATGATTCTGGACACACTGTAACTGGCCATATTGGTTCCAGCTAATTTCAGCCAGTTTTATTATCTTACAAGCTGAGGGAGTTTCAGTGTTTCAGCAAATTGTTTTTTTTTTTTTCTTCTGTCTGACACTCTGCAATCTCAATAATTTCTGCTAGTCATTGGTTTCTTTAACTCTTTGGGACACAGTTTTACTACTGTTGTGAACAAAATTGGTAAGGCTTTTAAACTTTTTCATTTATATCACAAATCTTTATTGAAGCCTGCTATATACTAGCCATTGTTCTAGGAGCTTTGGTTATATTAGTGAACACAAAAGGAACAGATCCCAGCTTTCATGATGTTTACATCTGGTTGGGTGAAAAGAGGAAAAATACTGAATATAGAACTAAATAACTTACATGACAGGATATAAAAAATAGGGTAGAAAAGGGCATAGGGAGGGATGATGGAGTTGGAGGTACATTACAATTCTAAATAGGTTTGTTGGTGTTATTGAAATTGTTACATTTGAGACAAGATTAGAAAATATGGAGGGCTAATAACGGTTGAGAAACAAAAGCATCCTTTGGCAAAAGGTAAGTTATTAAAGGTTTTATCAAGAGAAGGTCTGACAGTAGAAAACTCTTATGACCGTGGAGAGGAGTAGAAAGAGCAGAAGCTAAAAGGCAATGTGAAGTTGGAAGGAAAGTTGATTTTATAATGAATGAGAGATACACAGAGTGGGGAGAGTTTGGATTAAGCTCAGTATTGACAAGGACTGATCTTTTTGTTAGGAGCAAAGATCTATTATCTACTTCAACAGAATAAAAGAATGAGAGGATGACTGAATTTGTGGATATGTTTTTTTTTTCTTTTGGCAGTGATAGAATGAAGGAGTTTCTGTCCTATAGACACCGTTTTTTTCCTATGAAATATAAGGCTGATAGGAAGAAGGAGGTAGAGTCTGGAGTCTCATGGGCAAGTAGTCGTTGCAGAGTGGACTCACGCTTATTAGAGAAACAAAGATTGCTTGGAAGCATTTCATTTGCAATTTGAGTTGGTTGGATGAGTTCTAGGATACAAAAATAGTGTTTTAAATATTGTGTTTAGTTTAACTAAAATTAAAATAGTTGTAAGCTAACAATTGAAGAAAGTTAAAATTTTACTTGCAATTGTGCACATAGCAAGCTTGAGGGTGCAGTGTGAAATAGGGCTTCTTTCTCATCAAAAGTACCCAAGCATGCAATTTGAGGCCCCCATTACCTCATAAAATTATTTCCCGTGTTGTCCTGGTAAACAAGCATACCTACAGAGGATTGCCCCTAGATTCCACCTTTTCTCTTGATGCTGGTACCCTTGAATATCTTCCAATGTGATACAAATTATGTACCATTTTTGATCCAGTTTTCAGATTACTGTCACTGTGTTTCATTTGATCTAACTAAACACCACAAATGCATGTGGAATTTTCATAGCACTTATATAACATCTTTGTGACTTAAATAATCAGAGGAAAATTGCTTCAGACTCGTTAAAATTTTGTTTTACTTAGGTTATTAGTACTTGGAGTTGCTTTTATCTCCATAATTCTGGAGAAGATAATATATAAAGTAACTTGTGAAACTCATCGTTGGTAGTTTTCACCCAGTATGTATTTCCTTTCTCTGGAAGAAACCCCGAAGACTCCTCTTACAAGCTTATTAATCATTAATAATACAGGTGAGAAACAGGGCTAAAATTTGTTGTCAATTTTTTAAAATTATTTTATTTTTTTCATTTTTTTTATTGCATTTTAGGTTTTGGGGTACATGTGCAGAACATGCAAGATAGTTGCATAGGTACACACATGGCAGTGTGTTTTGCTGCCTTCCTCTCCTTCACCCACATTTGGCATTTCTCCCCATGCTATCCCTCCCCAGCTCCCCACCCCACTGTCCCTCCCCTATTCCCCCCAATAGACCCCAGTGTGTAGTGCTCCCTTCCCTGTGTCCGTGTGTTCTGATTGTTCATCACCCACCTATGAGTGAGAACATGCAATATTTAATTTTCTGTTCTTCTGTCAGTTTGCTGAGAATGATGTTCTCCAGATTCATCCATGTCCCTACAAAGGACATGAACTCATCATTTTTGATTGCTGCATAATATTCCATGGTGTATATGTGCCACATGTTCCAAGTCCAGTCTATCATCAATGGGCATTTGGGTTGGTTCTAGGTCTTTGCTATTGTAAACAGTGCTGCAATGAACATTCGTGTGCATGTGTCCTTATAGTAGAATGATTTATAGTCCTTTGGATATATACCCAGTAATGGATTGCTGGGTCAAATGGAATTTCTATTTCTAGATCCTTGAGGAATCGCCACACTGTCTTCCACAATGGTTGAACTAATTTACACTCCCACCAGCAGTGTAAAAATGTTCCTATTTCTCCACATCCTCTCCAGCATCTGTTGTCTCCAGATTTTTTAATGATCACCATTCGAGCTGGCATGAGATGGTATCTCAATGTGGTTTTGATTTGCATCTCTCTAATGACCAGTGATGATGAGCATTTTTTCATATGTTTGTTGAACTCATGTATGTCTTCTTTTGTAAAGTGTCTGTTCATATCCTTTGCCCATTTTTGAATGGGCTTGTTTGTTTTATTCCTGTAAATCTGTTTGAGTTCTTTGTAAATTCTGGATATCAGCCCTTTGTCAGATGGGTAAACTGCAAAAATTTTTTCCCATTCTGTTGGTTGCCGATTCACTCTAGTGACTGTTTCTTTGCTGTGCAGAAGCTGTGGAGTTTGATTAGGTCCCATTTGTCTATTTTGGCTTTTGTTGCCAATGCTTTTGGTGTTTTGTTCATGAAGTCCTTGCCTACTCCTATGTCCTGGATGGTTTTGCCTAGATTTTCTTCTAGCGTTTTTATGGTGCCAGGTCTTATGTTTAAGTCTTTAATCCATCTGGAGTTAATTTTAGTGTAAGGTATCAGGAAGGGGTCCAGTTTCTGCTTTCTGCACATTGCTAGCCAGTTTTCTCAACACCATTTATTAAACAGGGAATCCTTTCCCCATTGCTTGTTTTTGTCAGGTTTATCAAAGACTGTATGGTTGTAGATATGTCGCGTTTCCTCCAATGCCTCTGTTCTGTTCCATTGGTCTATATCTCTGTTTTGGTACCAGTACCATGCTGTTTTGATTACTGTAGCCTTGTAGTATAGTTTGAAGTCCAGTAGTGTGATGCCTCCCGCTGTGTTCTTTTTGCTTAGAATTGACTTGGCAATGCGGGCTCTCTTTTGGTTCCATATGAAGTTCAAGGTGGTTTTTTCCAGTTCTGTGAAGAAATTCAATGGTAGCTTGATGGGGATAGTGTTGAGTCTGTATATTACTTTGGGCAGTATAGCCATTTTCACGATACTGATTCTTCCTAATCATGAACATGGAATGTTTCTCCATCTGTTTGTGTCCTCTCTTATTTTGTTGAGCAGTGGTTTGTAGTTTTCCTTGAAGAGGTCCCTTACGTTCTTTGTAAGTTGTATTCCTAGGTATTTTATTCTCTTTGTAGCAATTGTGAATAGCAGTTTGTTCTTGATTTGGCTCTCTTTATGTCTGTTCTAGGTGTATAGGAATGCTTGTGATTTTTGCACATTGATTTTATATCCTGAGACTTTGCTGAAGTTGCTTATCAGTTTCAGGAGTTTTTGGGCTGAGATGATCGGGTCTTCTAAATATATTATCATGTCATCTGCAAATAGAGACAATTTTGCGTCCTCCTTTCCTATTTGAATACCCTTTATTTCCTTTTCTTGCCTGATTGCTCTGGCTAGAACTTCCAGTACTATATTGAATAGGAGTGGTGAGAGAGGGCATCCTTGTCTAGTGCCAGATTTCAAAGGGAATGCTTCCAGTTTTTGCCCATTCAGTATCATATTGGCTGTTGGTTTGTCATAAATAGCTTTTATTATTTTGAGATATGTTCCATCAATTCCAAATTTATTGAGGGTTTTTAGCATAATGAGCTGTTGAATTTTGTCAAAGGCCTGCTCTGCATCAATTGAGATAATCATGTGGTTTTTGTTTTTGGTTCTGTTTATCTGGTGAATTACGTTTATAAACTTGCGTATGTCGAACCAGTCTTGCATCCCTGGGATCAGTCCTACTTGATCATGATGGATATGCTTTTTGATATGCTGTTGCAATTGGCTTGCCAGTATTTTATTGAAGATTTTTGCATCTATGTTCATCATGCATAATTGGCCTGAAGTGTTTTTTTCTTGTTCAGTCTCTGACAGGTTTTGGTATCAGGATAATGTTGGTCTCATAAAATGATTTTGGAAGGATTTCCTCTTTTTGGATTATTTGGAGTAGTTTCCGAAGGAATGGTACCAGCTCCTCTTTGTGTTTCTGGTAGAATTCGGCTGTGAACCCATCTGGATCTGGGCTTTTTTTGTGTGGTAGGCTCTTAATTGCTGCCTCAACTTCAGACCTTGTTTTTGGTCTATTCATAGTTTCGGCTTCCTCCTAGTATACACTTGGGAGGACACAATGTCCAGGAATTTATCCATTTCTTCCGGGTTTACTAGTTTATGTGCATAGAGTTGTTTGTAATATTCTCTGATGATGGTTTGAATTTCTGTGGAATCTGTGGTGATTTCCCCTTTATCGTTTTTTATTGCATCTGTTTGGTTATTCTCTCTTTTCTTTTTTATCAGTCTGGCTAGTGTTCTGTCTATTTTGTTGATCGTTTTAGAAAACCAGCTCTTGGATTTATTGATTTTTTGAAGGGTTTTTTGTGTCTCTATCTCCTTCAGTTCTGCTCTGATCTTAGTTATTTCTTGTCTTCTGCTAGGTTTTGAGTTTTTTTGATCTTGCTTCTCTAGCTCTTTCAATTTTGATGATAGGGTGTCAATTTTGGATCTCTCCATTCTTCTCATGTGGGCACTTATTGCTATATATTTTCCTCTAGAGACTGCTTTAAATGTGTCCCAGAGATTCTAGTATGTTGTGTTTTCATTTTTGTTGGTTTCAAAGAACTTCTTTATTTCTGCCTTCATTTCATTGTTTATTCAGTCAACATTCATGAGTCAGTTGTTCAGTTTCCACGAAGCTGTGCGGTTCTGAGTTAGTTTCTGAATTCTGAGTTCTAACTTGATTGCACTATGGTCTGAGAGACTGTTTGTTATGCTTTCAGTTGTTTTGCATTTGCTGAGGAGTGATTTACTTCCAATTATGTGGTCAATTTTAGAGTAGGTGTGATGTGGTGCTGAGAAGAATGTATATTCTATAGATTTGGGGTAGAGAGTTCTGTAAATGTCTATCATGTTTGCTTGTTCCAGGTCTGAGTTCAAGCCCTGGATATCCTTGTTAATTTTCTGTCTTGTTGATCTGTCTAATATTGACAGTGGAGTGTTAAAGTCTCCCACTATTATTGTGTGGGAGTCTAAGTCTCTTTGTAAGTCATTAAGAACTTGCCTTATATATCTGGGTGCTCCTGTATTGGGTCGATATATATTTAGGGTTGTTAGCTCTTCTTGTTTTATCAATCCTTTTACCATTATGTAATGTCCTTCTTTGTCTCCTTTGATCTTTGTTACTTTAAAGTCTATTTTATCAGAGACGAGAATTGCAACTCCTGCTTTTTTTTGCTCTCTATTTGCTTGGTCAATCTTCCTCCATCCCTTTATTTTGAGCCTTTGTGTATCCTTGCATGTGAGATGGGATTCCTGGATACAGCACATTGATGGGTTTGGGCTTTTTATCCAATTTGCCAGTCTGTGTCTTTTGATTGGTCCATTTAGCCCATTTACATTTAGGGTTAATATTCCTATGTGTGAATTTGATACTGCCATTTTGATGCTAGCTGGCTGTTTTCCCATTAGTTGATGCAGATTCTTCATTTTGTTGATGCTCTTTAGCATTTGGTATGTTTTTGGAATGGCTGGTACTGGTTGTTCCTTTCTATGTGTAGTGCCTCTTTCAGGAGCACTTGTAAAGCAGGCCTGGTGGTGATAAAATCTCTGAGTACTTGCTTGTTCGCAAAGGATTTTATTTTTCCTTCACTTATGAAGCTCAGTTTGGCTGTATATGAAATTCTGGGTTGAAAGTTCTTTTCTTTAAGGTTGTTGAGTATTGGCCCCCACTCTCTTTCTGAGAGATCTGCTCTGAGTCTGATGGGCTTCCCTTTGTGGATGACCTGACCTTTCTTTCTGGCTGCCCTTAGCATTTTCTCCTTCATTTCAACCCTGGTGAATCTGATGATTATGTGCCTTGGGGTTGCTCTTCTTGTGGAATATCTTTGTGGTGTTCTCTGTATTTCCTGGACTTGAATATTGGCCTGCCTTGTAGGTTGGGGAAATTTTCCTAGATAATATCCTGAAGAGAATTTTCCAGCTTGGATTCATTCTCTTTGTCGCATTCAGTTACACCTATCAAACGTAGAACAGATCTCTTCACATAGTCCCACATTTCTTGGAGACTTTGTTCATTCCTTTTTGCACTTTTTTCTCTAATCTGGACTTCTTGTTTTATTTTATTGAGTTGATCTTCAACTTCTGATATCCTTTCTTCTGCTTGGTCAATTCAGCTGTTGAAACTTGTGCATGCTTCGCAAAGTTCTCGTGTTGTGTTTTTCAGCTCCTTCAATTCACTCGTATTCCTCTCTAAGTTGTCCATTCTTGTCATCATTTCCTCAAATCTTTTTTCAAGGTTCTTAATTTCTTTGCATTGATTTACAACA